CAAGCTCCCTTCCCCTCAGTAATACTATTTAATCCAACAACATTCTTTACAGAAGCGTCATGGGCCCAGTGTGAAAAACAGCAAGAATGTTATTTGTGCAAATAGTTGTATCAAGAACAGTGTTCAGTGATTTACCAATCATACTGCTCCATTCACACAGGTGCAAGAATTATACTGCTCTGTAATGAACAGGTAGCTACTGACCTAACATTACATAACGTTCAGGGAGGGGAATTTATCAAAACTGGAGTAGACAGAATCTGGAGCAGTTGCCCATGGCACCCAATATGTTTTATTTGTTAAAGCTTATCTGAACAAACTGAAGAGAGATGTTGATTGGTTACTATGGGCAACTGCTCCAGTCTTGATAAATTCACCCCAATGTGTTGTGCAGCACTGCACCCCTGCCAGCTGCATGTGTATTGGACTATTCAGCTCAGTGTATCGACACGACTGGTAAGGTGGTGCCTGGTGGGGTTGTAACTGCCTGACAAAAATCTTTTACAGCTGCCCATGTGAATTCAACCTATATAATAATGCATTAGTCGTGGCATTATGCCGGATAGAAAGGAGATATGTAGTAATACAGCATCTCTGCAAAAAGCAGTGAAAAAAAACATCTGCTCCATTTTGTCAGAAAACCCAGTTATTCCCCCAATGGCTACTGCCGTCTTGCCTTTCAGAAATCATAGATGAGATGAAGCCAAGCTGCCTGCCCAAATATCGAAGAAATCTCTGCTTTTCTGAAGTCTTTGGCTTGTCACTACTCTGTACATATGGCAGCAGCCAGGGGCAGTGGTTAGAGATGGAGTCATAAGCTTGGCTGCCAACTTCTGACAAAACATCAAAATTTGCAAACAAGTAACAGCAATATTTTCAGGAAAGAATATCTGCATTGGAAACAACTGATGAGCAAATTGTGCAGGTGTATAATCTGAGATTGTAGTTCATCACAGGAGTGATCTTGGAGCGGTGACTACTTTACAACTCACACAGGGACAATGGGGAACAAAAGTAACAACCCTCCAGAATGAAGGACAGTGTCAGCACCAATTCAGAGATGATTTGACGATCTGCAGCCGAGTGATACACAAATAAGATATATTTTGTTGTTTAGTGTTCTTTAATATATAAAAGTATTCAATATTTAATCTCTTAATAGTCGAAAGATGGTAAGAATAATGACAGCCAATGTTCAACAAGTCATGTAAAAGCTATAAAGAGCAAGAATGAGTTGTATTTTTACCTTATTCAATTGCTTTATACTGTATGCCAAGCTCCCTTCCCCTCAGTAATACTATTTAATCCAACAACATTCTTTACAGAAGCGTCATGGGCCCAGTGTGAAAAACAGCAAGAATGTTATTTGTGCAAATAGTTGTATCAAGAACAGTGTTCAGTGATTTACCAATCATACTGCTCCATTCACACAGGTGCAAGAATTATACTGCTCTGTAATGAACAGGTAGCTACTGACCTAACATTACATAACGTTCAGGGAGGGGAATTTATCAAAACTGGAGTAGACAGAATCTGGAGCAGTTGCCCATGGCACCCAATATGTTTTATTTGTTAAAGCTTATCTGAACAAACTGAAGAGAGATGTTGATTGGTTACTATGGGCAACTGCTCCAGTCTTGATAAATTCACCCCAATGTGTTGTGCAGCACTGCACCCCTGCCAGCTGCATGTGTATTGGACTATTCAGCTCAGTGTATCGACACGACTGGTAAGGTGGTGCCTGGTGGGGTTGTAACTGCCTGACAAAAATCTTTTACAGCTGCCCATGTGAATTCAACCTATATAATAATGCATTAGTCGTGGCATTATGCCGGATAGAAAGGAGATATGTAGTAATACAGCATCAAATATCTTACTGGGTATCACCGCATTAAGGCAAACAAAGAAAAAACAAAAATTTACTTTGCATGCTCTGAGGACCATGTTAAAAATTTCTCATCCCACCCCCATTATTGGCTGACAGTTACCTAGAGAATACAGCTCAAACTGTACAATACAATGCCCTTTCTAACCTGTCCCCTCCATGTGAATGCCAATCGTCACTCTACATTACTTCCAACAAAACCTTGAGGGTCAATTCACACTGCTGAGCTGCGATAATCCAAGCAATACTGCATAATACATTTTGAGTGGCATTCCAACTCGCCATACCGGCTACAAAAATGTTGCATTTTTGGTTTCCACCCCCTTATCCTTCTAAACGGCAAGCTCCTATGGGCAGGACTCTCACTGCCAATATTTGTAAACATGCATTATAATTAGCGGTGCACCGAAATTAACATTTTGAAAACTAAAATTATTTTTTTTTAAATGTCAGGCTAAACTGAAAATTATTTTTTTTCCTAACTTTTTTTTAAATAATTTTTAATAAAACATTTTTTTTTTTACTGTTAGGGGTTTCAGGGAAATATTAGAGGTCTAAGCAGACCGCTGATATTCCCCTTTTAAATAGAAGAAGAAAAAAAAAAGAAAAGCAGATTGAGAACACAGAGTCCTTAATCTCTTTTTCTGCAGCCCCAGTTATAAATAAACAGGAAGCCTCTATACCAGGGGTAGCAAACCTCCGGCCCTCCAGCTGTGGTGGAACTACAAAACCCATGAGGCATTGCAAGATTCTCAAAGCCAGAGACACGACTCCCGAAGAGAGATGCATCATGGGATTTGTAGTTTCACCACAGCTGGAGGGCCGGAGGTTTGCTACCCCTGCTCTATACTGAGTGCTCCTGTTCATTCATAAACTTCTGGAGATAGTATGTTTACCATGTCCACAATCATGAATGAACAGGAAGTGATGTAGATCACTTCCCATTCATTCATGATTGGGGACACAATAAACAAACTATGTCCTTAATTATTTACAAACACTCAGCGATCTCTGATTGCTGAGTGCTTGTAGCTGCTTTCCATCCTGACTCACGGTCACAGGAGGCTGAGCGAGTGGTGCAGGGAGGAGAGCTCGATCTCCTGCGACAGTCGACTTCTCCCCGCACCGCCAGCCCGGCCTCCTGTGACAGCTGTCTCTGCCCACACACCGCCGCTCTCCTGATCTGTCACAGGAGGATGAGCGAGGCGGTGCTGGAGGAGAGCTCAGCATCCCGTGACAGCAATTACAGCTGTCCCCGCCCTCCAGACGCCGCTCTCCTAATCAGTCACAGGAGGCTGAGCAGTGCGGCAGGGGAGACGCTGGCCGCTCACAGCGCTCTCGTCCCAGGTACCGCTCTGCCTCTTGTGAAAGTTTCTCTCCTCCCTGCTGGGACACCAAGCAGCGGCGAGCGGGGAGGAGAGAAAGCAGAGATGCACCACTATTTTGGCTGAAAGATGGCACTTTCTGCATTTTGCCAAAAGTGCAATTTTCGGCCTATATGTTTCGGTGGCCCAACTTTCGGTACATCCCTAATTATAATTTAGGCATTTCTATTCTATGCATTTGGATTATGTGTGTTACATGCCCTGCTTGTACTCACAAGTTTATGACAAGTGGGCACCTCATAAAGAGTGATGACCAGCCTGGAGGTAGGCCGCACTCACTTAACTACTTATGGGCACAGGTAGTGTTCTTTATAGGAGCAGGAGCAGTGTCCCTAACACAATGCAATGGTATGACTGACAAAGTACTTATTTAGTAATTACAAAACAACCTATGGCTGCCTGATGTTGACTTGGGTGGGAATTATTTCGGTTGGCACAGATATTCTTTAACCGCTTGCCATACGATCATTGTATATAAACGGATGTAAGGCTTGCTGTTAAATGTGGGTCGCTTTTATTTCCTCCTGTGCACAGGTGCACCCCCCCCTCCCCAGCATGCGCACAAGGAGGACACGGTAAACATTTTTTGTACAGCCAGTGATGGCTGTTACATACAAGCTATCGATTGAATGGAGCATGGGAGTGTGCAACGCCCCCCCATAAAAATATCCCCCCCCCATCCCCACAAACACGGGACAGGTGCACCTAACCTATGTGTGAAAACAATGATTGTGGCACACGTTACATATCGTGAGTGTGAGCAATAATTCGAGGCCTACGGGCAATTTTGGGTATGGTAGTGCTTTGAAATTTTTAAGACGCATGCAATTTTACCCAGCGTGACGCCATTTTTTTAGATTTTACCAAAAAATTGGGTAACAATAAATGTTTTATAACAATGCAGAGAAAACCGTTTTTTAAAAACAACATTTTTGGTATACAGTTAAAAAAATAAAAACCCCAGTGGTTATTAAATAACACAAAAAGAAAGCTCTATCTGTCCCCCCAAAAAATGGTACAAAATGTGTTAGGTACGAAGTTACAGGGCTACAAAAATGTCAAAGTACCTCAGCGATAAATACTGAAAAATGGTCAAGTGGTTATATAATTAGGATCATCTCAATACTTCTATGCCTGGTGTGCCAAATTTTCCAATACAGAGTGCCACAAATCTCTTCTCACGCATAACCCAAAACTACAGTTTTTGCACTTGCCAGTTGAAGTGTAACTTCATATTTAATTGTCTATTACATTTTCCACATGGCTGATATAAAACAACCGATATACAAACAATATATATTCAAATTGTTATAAATCACTAAGTTAAATGTCTTTTTGTAGAATAAAACCCCTTGCTGTATGAAAAGGTGCGTTTTGGATCCTCACAATTATGTGTATAATGGTACCACTCTCTTAGCAGACCCTGAGATCTCTGGCACAGTTTTTTATATTTCTTACTTGGGCAAGTGAAAACTTAGCTCTTCGTTATCAGCACTTTCTTAATGCAAGCTGCAGGTCGTAATATCGTGCTACAGGTTGTCCGAAAAAATGCTTTTTGGAGAATGAAGAACAAAAATATCATAATCACAGTTTTAATTTAGAAAGCTTTGGAAGGAAGGAAAAAAAAAAAAAAAAAAACACGACAGAAGTACTTTTGAACATCTATTTCTCAAACTATTTAGCAGTAAACCAGAAGCACAGAGCTGGCACAGCACAAAGCATAGAGTTACCTCAGACTGTCCTTCCTGGGCACTGCTTTCATGTGTAACCCGAATACTCTGGATTAGGAGAAAAGAAAAACATTTATATTAATACTTCCAATAACAGTCTTCCAACACACACTGCAACATGCCAGGCCACAGAAGACACACCAAACTCGATATTCACTGGACATAGAAAGAGAGAAGGCCAAAACAAAGGTTCTATTTTCAGAACACAACTATCTGATTTCAAACAGATTTCTGTCTGTATCAAAACAGATACACATACATTCACATTTATTTATTCAGAGTATATTTTATGGCAATTTGGGAGGTTGCAACATAGCAATTTACATAGTTTCCTCATAGACAATTTACTGTTTCCTCATGTAAGAAATGAAGAAAAAAGAAAAATGTGTGGGCAATGTTAGAGAATGACAAAGACTTTCAAACATCTTTTTTCTAACCAGCAAAACCAAACTGGGTCTTTCAAATCATGCATACTTTGGCATCCACAAGGCAGGAATGAAACAGTGTCACGGGTTTACAGAAACCAATGTTTTTGGATCAAGTAATAAAAATCAATACTTGGGTTTTTTTCCTTCTTAAGGGAGGGGTACCTGGATTTCAATATTTATGAAGCAGTTTGTCATATTCTGAGAAAGATAGAAATCGGGAAATAAATTTGTACAAAGAATTTCCCAATTAATTTAAATAGGAGAATTATCCTATTGTTAATGGTGTTTTCACCTAGAGGAAGCCTCTACTCAGCCATTAAAAACCAGGAAAATAGAATACTACAACCAACCTCTCCCCCAAGTCAGTCCCAACGTGTGGTCTCGATTCTATTTCTATGCTTCAAAATCCCTACTAAATGCAGACACTGGTATCTGCAGATCACCATTCATATTGGTGTTTTGAGTCCATACACCCCAAATGAACCGAGTTTCACTTTATTGAAGCCCTGATGAAGGGGGATTGTGTGAGCCCCTGAAATGTGTTGGTTGTTTCACCATACTGATCTTTTCAAATTAACGATTGTTTTGGGCTCAAATTGTATTGCCCCCATCTGTCCTTTCATTCGAACCAACCTTGGACCCCCTTCCCCCTACCCGTTTGGTTTGTTCACGTCTGTGTGGGAGCAGTCTCTTCCAGTATGTCCTTCGCATCCTGAACAAAAATATTATTTAAAAATGTAGGTCTCCTAAAACAGCAAGGATCTAGCATCTCTTTCTGCTGCACTGCAATGTCCATTGAGGCACCAGAGAACTGCTCTTCAAACATCAACTATAGAAAGTGCCAACTCTAGCTCTAAAAGGAGGTTCTCACTAAACAGAACAGAAGGACAATTTCCTACATGTGGAAAGAGACCACCACCATGGAGAAAAATGGAAGATCTTATTTTAAAACACCCAATCAGCTAGAACCCAAAACATAAGGCTATTGGATGAAAGGGACTTGCATTACTCCAATCTAACAAGCCAGTCAAGTGCTCCAAAGGGAAAAAAATAGCCAAACCCCAAGCACCCCCTTAAAATTCCAAGTCAGAATGACAAATTGCCACTTTCCAACATCTTGGACACCTAAAAGGAATTCTACAGTTTCTCAATGATTAAGAAAAGCAGCTATTTGTAGTGTAATGGTCCTGGAATTATTACAATTGAAAAAATGCATATGTTAGATGGAAGGTTCATCTGTACATGAAGTGGTCTTCCCCCAAACACGTGTCTCTGGTATTCAGAGGGAAACTACTTTTTTTTTTTTACCTTACCGGAGTTGTTCCCATCTTACCATGATCCCACAGAAATGTCTGTGTTAAGAGACTGCTTGCCTGGAAGAACAGTCAGGCAGCTGATAAGTTCTCTTTTATCCAAATCCAAAGTATGGCTTTATAACAAACTGATGTTGTTCTCTCCCTGATTGTTCAGGTACACAGCATGGTCATATTGTCAGACTAAGTTCTCTTCTAACCTAGTTAAGTTGCCCCCCTATGAAAAGGTTAAAAAAAAACCTCCCGAAGTGCACAAATAAAGTAAGAATACATTTTGGACATCTTTCAGTGATCCCAGAAGAAAACAATCATCTGAATATGCTCTGTGGCCTTGCTTGCACCAGTACAATCAAGCTCAATTACAAAAGACACTGTGCATCTGTGTCCCACAGATGTCAAAACATGCTACACACTTGAAAAAAAACATAAAAAAACTGAAATAGTGTACAGGCAGTATCTAAATGCAACAAAGCTGAACAAAATACAATATTTCACAGAATAAAAATCAAATTACCCCCAACAATAAAAATGAGGATATATGCTCCTTGGACGTCTGCTCAACTATCAATGGGATTTGCTGAATCTGTTCATGGCCAAAAGCAGAAAGCTGCGCAAGATGGCAGACACTGTTAAACACGAACCATGAGAAACTCTCTTGCGACATCACCGCAAAGTATTTCCAGCCAGCAACCTCTTTGTCGGATGCAGCATATTTCTTCATCATATTAGGCACCTCACTGCTAGCCGCAAGTGGCCTGAAAAGTTCCCAGAGACAGCTGGGCAGAGTTCCAAGGGGCGCATTCCCCATTTGTTAATTGCTGATGATACAGTTTACTATATCATTTCATTTATAAAAAAAAAGTTTGCTTACTTCATCTCTTTCTAGAAATTTGGCACGTTCATCGGGGCTCAATTTAGAGGATTCAGTTATAAATTTTTTTAAAGCGGAGTCATTTTCTGAAAGGAAAAAACATTACACATAATGCAATTATGAGAATCAGACTTGTGGCAATCATTATTGTGTCACTCTATTAGGGTCGCTGACATTTCAGCTCATATTTAAAGACTTTTATATTGTTTTGTTGATGGTTAAATAACCACAAAGAAAAATCCATAACATGAAAAAGGTAGGAATGTAAATGTAAACAGCATTTTCCTTTGGCATATTCCAGTATTCAAACCATCAACAGTCATTTATTTATGCCTGGGAAGCATGCAGTTATTAACCGTTCCAAGGATGCAAATTTAAAACTGCAAAAACGTGGTTTGGGGTGTAAAGGTAAGTGTTATTAAAGCGAGACTAAACTCAGGAGATAAATCTTGAAACGCATTAAAGTACCCCAACTACGCATATTAACAGAAATGTAGCTTGCGTTTGTTTGTAGATCCTCAAATCATCTTTGAATTGGTGCTGACACTGTCCTTCCTTCTGGAGGGTGGCTACTTTTGTTCCCTATGGTCCCTGTGTGTGTTGTAAAGTAGCCACCACTCCAAGCTCACTCCTGTGATGGACTACAATCTCATGTTTAGTTTACTAATTTGTGTAATGAGGAAAGCCTAAAATGGGAGTCATGAAAATGTGCACACATATACAGTACATCACCACTGCACCTCTTTATTACCACAATAAATGCTCACTTACAAAGGTGGAAATGGATTTTAAGACCAAGTCACATTTGTAAAGTTTTCTGCAGTATAAAAAAAATATTGGGAAACATTAAGGGTTCCTCTCTGTGACTTTTGGCAATATTATACACTTTATCCGATCAAGGTGAGCCTGTGATGGAGATACGAGATGTGCCACCACTGCCTGCACAAATAATCGTTGAACCTTCTGCCACACAATCGTTTTGTATATAGACATGCTCGGTTTTAATACGAGTGATCTCATTAGATCACTCGTATTAAACGAGCAGTGGCTCCTACTACTCGCCCGGCGCCCGAAACTGCATGTCTCGGGCGTCGGGATTCGCTCCATAAAGACGCAGGCACTTTTTCCACCTCCTTTTGGGGGAAAAAAGTGCGTCTTATGGAGCGAAAAATACGGTACATTTATTGCTATCACATAGGAGGGCTCACAGCTAGGAGTCTGCTTACAGAGACCGACTTCTGCTGACGTATGGCAAGGATTAATGCAAAAATGTTTCAGTCATTTTAAGCTTTTAACAATAAAAGTGCTCTGGACATTATTAACTATTTAGAACACTGCTTTCAGGCCCTCTAAGGGCGTGAATTCCCATGATGACTTCAGGGAATAAATAATACCCACCTGCCACCTCCCTGTAGGCCAGTGGCCAATAAGGAAACTCTCCTTAGGCAGGGGGTGATGGATGGCCAAGGCATAGTCCCGAAGTCGGGGAAGTCAAGGCTTTAGTAGTAAAATTAAAAGCTTTTTGCAGGGGTGCACAGAGGAGACCTCATTAGCTGTCACCATGATGGTGGCTCACACATTTTAAATTGTCAAAATAAAATATTATTTTATTTGGTTACCAAAGAATACGTGCGGCTGAAAGAAAGTTGCCAGTGTCTCCATAACATTAAGAGCCAGCTATTAACCTTGCAAAGAGCACAAAAATGTTGGTATTGTAGCACCATCTGGTGGTTCGTTGTGTGTAGTTAGTAGAGTGTTGTGGAAAATGTGCTACTTACCAAAATCAAGCTTATCTTTGTTGTTTCCCACTGCATGAAGAAGACCAATTGTTCCACAGGCATTGCGTATTGTTTGTTTCATGAAGTAAACCGAGGAATCTACATCTTGACCGTGGGATTTAATTTTTTCTTCCTCCTCTGCTTTAAATAATTCATACTGCAGACAAAGAAAAAAAATGTTTTATAAATCATTTCAAGCAACCAATGCCATTTTCTACCGTGTCATATTGGCAACAAAATGGGGGACAACATTATTCCTTTACAGCACTGGATAAGCCAAGAAAGCCTACCTCAGGCCTACAGACGCTGAGCATTGCAAATATAGCATTTCAATTCATAACACCACCACAAACATGGATGTGGAACAACGGATCTAGCAACACTAAACCCCAAGTATGGAAGCATCTGAATAACAAGCTGCTTGTTGTCAACATCTTTATTTCAGGTTTCTAGCTGAAGTTACAGGGAGAAGCTGTTTAATTTCTATGGGAAATGAAAGTTCAAAATACACAAAAGTCCATAGTACACAGTAAAGTGGCACTAATCTCAGGTGTTAACCTTAAAAATACATTCAAGTACCTTAACTATTAACAAAAATGTATCTTATTTGTGGATCACTCAGCTGTAGATCCTCAAATCATCTCTGAATTGGTGCTGACACTGTCCTTCTTTCTGGAGGGTGGCTACTTTTGTTCCCCATGGTCCCTGTGTGTGTTGTAAAGTAGCCAACGCTCCAAGCTCACTCCTATGATGGACTACAATCTCAATATAAATTCGTAAACTAAGTGCGAGATTGTAGTCCATCATAGGAGTGAGCTTGGAGCGATGGCTACGTTACAGCACACACAGGGACCATGGGGAACAAAAATAGCCACCCTCCAGAAGGAGGGACAGTGTCAGCATGAATTTAGAAATTATTTGAGGATCTATAGCTGAGTGATGCACAAATAAATTACATTTTTATTAATAGGTAAGGTACTTAAATGCATTTTTAGGATTAGTGTCGTTTTAACTTTGGGAATATGAAAAGATTAGAAGAATAGAAGACACTATGCTTAAAGGTTAAGTGCACTTCTTTAGAAATCCCACATTCCCCCAATCAAATGCCTAAACTGTACTACAGAGTGCAAAATCCAACAGCCTGGCCTGCTTAGGGATGTAGTATTGTTTATGTCCTTGGCTGACATATGGAATTCTCAAACATTCAGAGCATAGTCATAATGAATAATGCCTGGCTAAGTTTGGGTCATGAGCCACCAGAATATAAAAGAACATACACAAACAATGCTTGGGTCCTTTGGCAAGGAGAAATTCTATCTTCTCGCATGTGACTCAATAATTGCATGCCTTGTACCTTGCAGAGGGTATGACATGGGGGAGTACATGCAGGAGAGGAGTCTGGCAAGTATGATGGCAAGCAGTATATGCGGGAGAGGAGTACAGAGGGCATGTCATGGAACAGCATCGGCAGGAGAATAGGGCACAGGGTAACTTGGGGCAGCAAGTGTAGAAGGGTGCAGAGCAGTGACGTGCGATACCTCTTGCTCCGGGTGAGGCATTCCCCAGCCCCGGCCCCCGCCGGCCGAAGCCCGCCCCCAAGCTAGTGTAAAGGAGGAAAGGAGGAGACATGGAGGAGCCTCCCTCACTTGCTCCTCACTGCTGAGGCGCTCTGTCCATAACAGGTTACACAGCGGGGAGGATTTTTTCCTCCATAATTTTAGGCAAGGCTCTGCCTCACCTGCCTCCCCTGACCACACGTCCCTGGTGCAGAGGGTATGATGGCAAGCAGTATATGTTGGAGAGGAGTGCGTGCAGAGGGTATGTCATGGAGCAGCTTTGCCAGGGGAATAGTGCGGAGGGTATGTTATGGAGCAGTATGTGTAGCAGAGGAGTGGGGAAGGTATGATGGCAAGCAGTATATGTTGGAGAGGAGTGCGTGCAGAGGGTATGTCATGGAGCAGCTTTGCCAGGGGAATAGTGCGGAGGGTATGTTATGGAGCAGTATGTGTAGCAGAGGAGTGGGGAAGGTATGATGGCAAGCAGTATATGTTGGAGAGGAGTGCGTGCAGAGGGTATGTCATGGAGCAGCTTTGCCAGGGGAATAGTGCGGAGGGTATGTTATGGAGCAGTATGTGTAGCAGAGGAGTGGGGAAGGTATGATGGCAAGCAGTATATGTTGAAAAGGAGTGCAAAGGGTAGAACAGCAGGCTTTATCTGCCAGAGTGGAGTGCAGAGGGTATGATGGCAGTCTGTGGAAGACACAGAGTCTGATTTCCAGAGAATGGCATGTACAAAACTGGACAAGAAGAGCATTTGCCCAAAGCAACCAATCAGACTCATAGAATATGGCTCATTTTTTATCCCTTCCAGCCTCTGCTCTGAGGAGACAGGGAATGACATTACCATTTGTACAAAAAAAAAAAAAAAAACCACGACAGGGAAAATAAGACTTACGCAACAGCATTAGGTGCAAACTTTCTATACACAATCTTTAACACTTTGTTTTTTTTTTAATTGAAGCTATACTCCAGGCACATATAAAAACATGCCAATGCAATTACGTACTGATTAAAAAAATAAAATCATTAAAAGCTAACCTTAAGTGTATAACACTTAGCTAAATCCATGCTGTCAAGACACCTGGAGGAGTATAAACATCCCAGTGCCTGAATGTCAGGTCCATTTTTTATTTAAGCTGCCCAGCACACCTCTTAGGTTGACAAGTCAAGCACTAAGTCCCACCCTCGAAGCCTCATTATTGTGAAAGAATGCTTCAATTGTAAGACTGCGGAGACAGAAAGAGGTAGAGCCAGGCACACAAAGCACTGATCTGGAAAGCATGTTTCTTATCTAAGCTCCTGGGCTGCTTCAATTGAAACAACGTGATATGTCAAAAGTGAATGGGCCTGCTGGATTAGATGTGCTCTACTCTACATGTTTTTATATGCAACTAGTTTAAGTATTTGAATTGGAAACATGATCCCCCTCCTGTAATCCCCCATACAGTAGCACTCAGAATGGGAGAAGGAGCATCATCATAAGTGTTGCAGTGTACATGTGCAGAAAATGAGCATGCTGACAGGAGAAAAGAGCAGAGCTTTTTAATTTTGTTTTTGTGTCTGCTACATCTTCCCTCACTTCCTGTCTGGTGGAACTATTGTCACTGGAACAGAAAGACTGACACTACAATCCGACAGTACGATCGCCTTTAGATCTACCACCAACTATATAGTGCAAGGGCCTGCCTGATATGATACCAATAATGGATTATTTAAGCTTGTCCTCACATTAGTTTTGGTAAATCTAGAAGACTGTAAAATATCTGTACAATCAGATTGCATAGTGCATGGTCAGCTTAAAGTGATGTTAAAGGCAAAAATGTTTTTCCATCCCCCCCATGTAAATGTTAGCACTTACCTTAAATGATGTCTCTTTTTCCGATCTTCCTATTCTTTCCCCATGTTTTCATGTGTCCCTCCAGCGGTGTGACATCACTCCGATCCAGCGCTGACTGCTCTGTCTCTCCGATCCAGCGGTGTCTGCAGGTGGGTGCACGCGTCCATAGACTTACCTTGCGTCTCTGCTCGTCTCCCGGCCGAGAATCGGAACTGCGCATGCGCCCGCCCCAAGATCCTTAGCGGCCGTACGAGCAGTTCCCGATTCTCGGCGCGGGAGCGAGCAGCGATAACTAGGTAAGTTTAAAATTATTTTAAGCGTTTTTTGTTTTTTTTTACACTTCTTGCCTATATCTACTGCTTGCTAGCAGTAGATATAAGCAAAAAAAACCGGAGGGTTTAGAACCCCTTTAAGTAAGGGGAAAATCTCTTTAATGAAGCTCTGGATGTCTGTAAAAAACCTGACAGGTGTTTTAAACCTTCCTCACTCTATCTAAAACGCAATTAAAACACCCAATACCTCCGAAAGCCATCTGTGTGGAATAAGCCTAAATCCAGGCACAGAAACTCCCATTTAAATATTGGTTTAATAGCCAGAAAGGATGTAAATCCACTTAGTGTGAAACACAAGCCTTTATAAACCCCAATATAACCTTTATAAAAGTAGTGGTGAAACTGTGCTGCATTAGCCTAAGCAGAGAGCAAAGCAGTGGTACCCATCAGTGGATGGACCCATCAGGTCCATCCACTGCAGGCTGCCCGCAGAGACAGATGGAGGCACCAGATACAAGGCCATTCACCCTGATGTGAGAAATTCTGAATTTTTTGTTCTTTTGATATATACATGTTAAAAACTGGTATTAAAACATGCTAATCTTATGGAAAACCAATAAAAACTTTGAAATCCACCCTGAACAAGGAAACAGAGCAGCAGTGACTGGTCTGTATTACAGGAAACGCCTGCATAGAGTGCAAAAGTTGATTCATGCTGGATTATTGCACTGATCTAGAACAAATATACTAAGCACATCAAGCAGGAATTCACATGGCCCTTGTATTTAGACACTATTTGCTTATCCCGGGGTTCAGTTTGAAAGCTTCTCCTAGCTGCCAGGCTTGACTGATTGACTGGCTCCTAAAATGACTGTTCCAACTTATCCTGGACAGCTGCTTTAATACCTGCCTTGTGTTCTATTTTAGTCACTCACTGCATTCTGTGTATCAGGCCTGGACAAATCCTAGGTGCATCTTGCCAAGGGGTTAGACAGGTGCTGCTGCTTTGCCAAACTGATGTCTTTGGTAGTATAGTGTTCAATGGTTGCCAATATTGGTTACCAATATGCCTTAAAGCAGCCAGACAGTGATAATCACAAAGCAAACCTTCATAGATCTAGTATTTGACAGGAGAACAGTGCTGCTATGAGGCATAATGATAATCATTAAATACTACATCACCAGCATACTGTATTTGTGGTTGCTGTTAGTGTGTGGTAAAGAGAACTATATATACATACAGCTGTGGTGCTGATAGCAGGGGGGTCACAGAAAGAGAACAATACTATGTATGGTCCTGGAGGGGAATGTTTCTTTTGCATATGTCAGATCAAAGCCAAACAGTTGTTGGCTCACTAGATTATGGAGCTGGCTCCTACATTTTATAAAGATATGACCCGTTCTGCCCTAAACTGAATGCGCAGGAAGCAGAAGTTAAAGAATCACAGCACGGTTGGAAAGACAGTATAGCTGAAACTTCCAATTACCTTTTCTGTCACAGGGAAAAGAAGTAGCACAGCACAAACAGGTCGTGAAACCAGGCTCAGGAGTTCAGGGTCAAGACCATAGACATCAACAAACTGCCAGCTGGAGCAAACACCCAGTTGTTTGAGGAACTGCAGAAAGGGAAAAAAAAAGAAGAACAGTGAACTTACAATATTCTCAACACATGTGGCTGCTTACAATTTTATTTACCAAAATTATATTAACAGTGGACCACAAAATACATTTAAACAATGCACAACTTTATTCAATAAAATATTACCATTGTTCATGTTTTAATACCAGCACACTAAAAAGGAGGTTAGCAATGTCAACTGAGAGAGTAATAGTTCAGCGGTTAGGTTGAGGCAGGATAGGCTTCCCTGAAGAGATGAATCTTCAGGGATCGCCTAAAGGCAGACAGAGTAGGAGCTAGCCGGATAGTTTGTGGTAGGGAGTTCCAGAGAATGGGGGAGACTCTAAAGAAGTCCTGGAGGTGAGCATGTGAGGAGTTGACGAGGGAGCTAGAGAGCAGGAGGTCTTGAGAGGAGCAGAGGGGTTGGTTAGGGTAATACTTTGAGACGAGGTTGTGGCTATAGGCGGGGGCAGAGTATTTAGGCATGTAAATAGGGACACATGAAGGCATACATTGCTGATCTTTCTGCCTAAAAATACCATTTCCCTTGGCTGTCAGCCTTCCTGAATAATAAAATAGCTCTTGTTTTAGTATGCAGATTAGGGCCTCTGACTTTCCTGATCAGCATGCTTGTTGCAGGTCAGCTTCTCAACATATTTTGGTTAGAGACAGCCAAGCAACTAACCTTTTCAACTGCTGGGAAGAATAAGACATGGCCAAAGGACTAGAAATTGTATCTTCCCTTTTAATATCTTTCTCTAGCCCAGCATCCACACAATTATATTTTTGCTTTGTAGGGCTGCAGCTAACGATTATTTTGCCGATTATCAAGTTTGATTAATCGGATAAAAACAATTTTAAAAGAAAGGGGGGGGGTGCTCCAGTAATGGAACACTAATTTGTACTGAGATTGTACAACACACACAGGGACCATGGGGAACAAAAGTAGCCACCATCCAGAAGGAAGGACAGTGTCAGAACCACTTCAGGGATGATTTGAGGATCTGCTGCCAAGTGATACATAAATAATTTACCACCAGCTATAGAGAAATACAACAAATCCCAGCCATAATACATTATAGTATAATGCATTTGCTGGGATTTGTTGTATTCCTCTATAGCTGGCGGTATTCTGCGTGCATTGCGCCACTGTATAATGTATTATTGCTGGCTGGGATTTGTTGTATGCCTCTATAGCTGGTGGTAAATTATTGCGCTGTATAATGATTATACAGCGCAATGCACAATATACCACCAGCTACAGAGGAATACAACACAATCTGGCAATACATTATATATACAGTGTATAATGTATTGCTGGGATGTGTATTCCTCTATAAGTGATGGTACATATACAGCGCAATGTACCATCAGCTATAGAGGAATACAACCAATCACAATCCCAGCAATACATGTATACAACATGTGGGGGGAAAGTGCAGGCAGTCTTGCCTGCAAGCAACTTTACTTTCTTCCCCGAGAACTTCGTTCACCCATGCTGCAGTCTCTCTGCAACGGCGTGATCGTCTCAGCGACGGGAGAGAGTTTAGAGCTGTGTGAGGCGAGGAAGAGATGCGGCGTAGGGCATGAAGCGTGTGTGGAGCTGGGAACAGGGGCAATTAATCGAAAGCCGACCAATCGATGATAGAAAACGTTGACAACGCTTTCCATCGTCGATTAGTTGTTGCAGCTCTACTGCTTTGTCAGCTGATTTACAAGTAACACAATGTCGGTTTTAGCAAACATCGAGGAACCTATATTTCACTAAAGCTGGTCACAAACACATATGAGAAAAGTTTTGAAATCGGGTCCTCGGACGAATCCCTCATCACATAAGACATAACTGCAATGTGCAAAAACCACATAGCTAGGAAAGAGCAGTACTGCCTTATCTCTACACCATCAGCAAAACAAAAGGGGAATCAGTCATTTTCTCAGCTCTTTGTATCCTGTGCAATATCAGTGTCAGAGTCCTGTTCTGTGGCTGCATGTACAGAGAAATTATAAACATCATACATGTGTGAAAGAAATCCTCCAATATTTGCACAGCCTCCACCCATTTATAGCCATAATCATCCGACATTTATGTAAGCCAACTATAGCTCCACGCAAACATTCTATCAAATCACCCTACAAAGTTATGAAGGGTGAATACTGTGAGCATATTTATGTGCAGTGTACAGAGAAGTGCCTGATGAGCAAGTCTATGCACAATGGCATTACACAAGAGAGCTACTCCCCAGTTAGCCGTCAGACTCGGGGTGTCTCAGCACTACCTGCTGGCAGTGTCACTGAGACTGATGGATAATGTGTGGGTTATGATTTGCAAAACTGAGCAGTCCTATTATAATGCACAGGGGTCTAGCTGATGAGCATGCATTATCTTTTTATAGCTCAGCATTTCTTACTGGATTGCATGCCATTATAAACTCTACAGACAGACCCCTGTGATGATGATGGAAATACGCCACAATCAATTTACTGTTCATAATATCAGCCTTCATAAGCTACAGTAAACTATAATGGCATAATATGGATAAATTGAATGCTATAGGCACACCAAAAGAACAGAATGCTGCCCTTTCCCAAAGGGAAACTATATCTAGGTTACTGTATATGCATGCAAAATGTTATCAATTTAATGCATGTTATTAATGGAGTGTCAATGCATGTTATTAATGGAGTGTCAATGCATGTTATTAATGGACTGTCTATGTGTTTATCTTGTGAATCTATAGGCAAAAATCGAAGCAGCCATATTTCCTTATCATATACACAGTATAGTCAATATACCTGCGTACCGGGTGCAGGCAAATCGCACTGAGGGTGGGTGGAGGGGGGGGGGGGCATGGCTGCAGTGCCATTGACTTCAATGCACCGCCATGCCCCCCTCCCCTGAACCCAGGGAGCTGGCCGGCTTGCGTTCCAGTGGCCGAACCGTGGTGTGAACCGGCCCTCAACAAGAAGTAGGGGGAGAGTAAAATACACTCATCCCATTAATTAGAGCCAGCATGTGACACTGAAACTGTCACACGTCAGCTCTATAGATCGAGAACTGAGCAATCACATACTGCTGAGCACTCAGTTCCCAATCTTCTCCCTGCAGAGAGCGGTGACTGTCAGTCACTGCTCTCTGCAGGGATTCCCCCCCCCCTCCCAATCCTCCAGTGCTCACTGATGGGGGAGGGGGCGGGCACAGCTGGCTCTGAGAGGCAGAGCCAGTTATCAATCAGGTGGCAGGGTGGATCCCGACAATATCATCAGGATCTTTCTCGGCTGCAGCTAGGCTCTGTGCAGTAAGCATATAGTGGGCGGTAGCCAGCTACATGATGAGTTTTGGGTCACAGGATGACAGTCAGGGCTTGAAAAATCCACTCATCCTCTTGTCTGTGACAAGAGGACGCCAGAGCCGGACGAGTAGCTTCCCGACTGTTGTAATTAAACGGCTGGCCGGGAGCTTTTTGGATGCCGGTTTACATTCAAGCTTCTGTCAATGCCGTTGCTGGTCCCGAGATCCCCTGTGCCCCGTGTGGCCGGGACCGGCACGGCTGCTCTGCGACAGGAGATTAGGACACGATCTCCCTCTGAACTGCTCTCCGGTCCCTGAATGCAGGAAGTGATGTATATTACATCACTTCTGGAGGCAGCTGTCATTCGCAGCTACAGATGCCAGTGAGAAGCTGACTAAGGAGATCTCTAGTTCATCCGCTTCTCTGGGGGTCTCTAGGTGACATTAGGGGTCTTGGAGACCCCTGATGTCTCAATAAAGAGGACCTGTCATGTAAATTGGCTACTACATAGGGAGCTTCTTATCCCCCTATGTGATAACTGTATTGCCTGATAACTAATACAAAAATTAAAAAAAATTAAAAGAAGCATAACATTTTTTTTTTTTTAAAAGACACTAAACTTTAAGTCCCCCGCCCACACATACGTCGGGTGCGCCTACATGCGAAAACGATGATTGCACCTATTGTGCCGCACATGTTAGATATCATTGTGAACGTCGGAGTGAGAGCAATAATTTTAGGGCCATTAATCACTGATCACACTAAAAGTGTTTAAAGTGTCGCCGATGGCCAATTTTCGGTGTGATCGTTTTTTTTGCAATTTTAAGGCACGACATGTTTGGTGTCGATTTTCCTGACGTGACCACGCCTTTTATATTTTACCAAAAAATAAAAAAACGCAGTGGTGATTATATACCACCAAAAGAAAGCTCCATCTGTCCCTAAAAAATGTTAACATAAATTGAAAGGCTATAGTCCGGTCATGCTAACTGGTGACATTTTTGACTGGCTGGTGAGACACCATAATATTTTTCAAGCCCTGGACATAGTAAATGTCCTCTTGTGACCCTAAAGAGAACTATGAACAAAAAAGGTTGGGCCATAGTTCTCTTTTAATTTACCCGATAGAAAATATCACATGAGCATGTAAATGGCACTTAGTCACTAGATTCCTGGGTACTAGGCAACAGGTGATCCATAGCACTGTCAGCAGCCAGCAGTCCAGCAACAAAGGCCACTTGAATGCCAGTGAAATTAAATTTGCCTGAGAAAAAACAGCTGTACTATTACAGATAAACCACAAAAGCCAACTGGTCCACTAATTAGCTCACACTCCCATTTACTACTCAATTCCAGAGCCCAAATATTTGTAATAAGATCTTTTGAACCTTGAAATCTATTCTGTAACCTGTGACGATTCTTCTGAACTTACAGACCATCCCAGATCCTGAAAAAAATGCTGGTAAAAAGGCAGATTCTTCTACATCTGTTCTTGAGACTCTAAAAAGAGTAGGTGGTCTTTGAAACATAAAAACCTAAAGGAAACTGCTATGAGACAAAGAGGTACTAAGGCATCTACCATCACCTTTTGAAAAAAAAGAAAATCACTTGGGAGATATATTAGCTATAGGAACACCTGACTGGAAAAGTCTGCTAGACAGAGAAATCACTGGAAACTTGGAGATGATAGAGACAGCCATTCCTCAGG